AGACCCTATCACTGTATACATATATAACTCCTTCAGTATTATCAGCTGATCCTCTACCTATAGGAATACGACACCTATCACTGTATACATATATAACTCCTTCAGTATTATCAGCTGATCCTCTACCTATAGGAATACGACCCTATCACTGTATACATAACTCCTTCAGTATTATCAGCTGATCCTCTACCTATAGGAATACGACGCCTATCACTGTATACATATATAACTCCTTCAGTATTATCAGCTGATCCTCTACCTATAGGAATACGACGCCTATCACTGTATACATATATAACTCCTTTAGTATTATCAGCTGATCCTCAACCTATAGGAATACGACGCCTATCACTGTATACATATATAACTCCTTCAGTATTATCAGCTGATCCTCTACCTATAGGAATACGACGCCTATCACTGTATACATATATAACTCCTTCAGTATTATCAGCTGATCCTCTACCTATAGGAATACGACACCTATCACTGTACACATATATAACTCCTTCAGTATTATCAGCTGATCCTCTACCTATAGGTATACGACGCCTATCACTGTAAACATATATAACTCCTTCAGTATTATCAGCTGATCCTCTACCTATAGGAATACGACGCCTATCACTGTATACATATATAACTCCTTCAGTATTATCAGCTGATCCTCTACCTATAGGAATACGACGCCTATCACTGTATACATATATAACTCCTTCAGTATTATCAGCTGATCCTCTACCTATGGGAATACGACCCTATCACTGTATACATATATAACTCCTTCAGTATTATCAGCTGATCCTCTACCTATAGGAATACGACACCTATCACTGTACACATATATAACTCCTTCAGTATTATCAGCTGATCCTCTACCTATAGGAATACGACCCTATCACTGTATACATATATAACTCCTTCAGTATTATCAGCTGATCCTCTACCTATAGGAATACGACCCTATCACTGTACACATATATAACTCCTTCAGTATTATCAGCTGATCCTCTACCTATAGGAATACGACGCCTATCACTGTAAACATATATAACTCCTTCAGTATTATCAGCTGATCCTCTACCTATAGGAATACGACGCCTATCACTGTATACATATATAACTCCTTCAGTATTATCAGCTGATCCTCTACCTATAGGAATACGACGCCTATCACTGTATACATATATAACTCCTTCAGTATTATCAGCTGATCCTCTACCTATAGGAATACGACTCTATCACTGTATACATATATAACTCCTTCAGTATTATCAGCTGATCCTCTACCTATAGGAATACGACCCTATCACTGTACACATATATAACTCCTTCAGTATTATCAGCTGATCCTCTACCTATAGGAATACGACGCCTATCACTGTAAACATATATAACTCCTTCAGTATTATCAGCTGATCCTCTACCTATGGGAATACGACCCTATCACTGTATACATATATAACTCCTTCAGTATTATCAGCTGATCCTCTACCTATAGGAATACGACACCTATCACTGTATACATATATAACTCCTTCAGTATTATCAGCTGATCCTCTACCTATAGGAATACGACACCTATCACTGTATACATATATAACTCCTTCAGTATTATCAGCTGATCCTCTACCTATGGGAATACGACCCTATCACTGTATACATATATAACTCCTTCAGTATTATCAGCTGATCCTCTACCTATAGGAATACGACCCTATCACTGTACACATATATAACTCCTTCAGTATTATCAGCTGATCCTCTACCTATAGGAATACGACGCCTATCACTGTAAACATATATAACTCCTTCAGTATTATCAGCTGATCCTCTACCTATGGGAATACGACCCTATCACTGTATACATATATAACTCCTTCAGTATTATCAGGTGATCCTCTACCTATAGGAATAAAACACCTATCACTGTACACATATATAACTCCTTCAGTATTATCAGCTGATCCTCTACCTATAGGAATACGACACCTATCACTGTACACATATATAACTCCTTCAGTATTATCAGCTGATCCTCTACCCATAGGAATACGACCCTATCACTGTATACATATATAACTCCTTCAGTATTATCAGCTGATCCTCTACCTATAGGAATACGACCCTATCACTGTATACATATATAACTCCTTCAGTATTATCAGCTGATCCTCTACCTATAGGAATACGACGCCTATCACTGTATACATATATAACTCCTTCAGTATTATCAGCTGATCCTCTACCTATAGGAATACGACGCCTATCACTGTATACATATATAACTCCTTCAGTATTATCAGCTGATCCTCTGCCTATAGGAATACGACGCCTATCACTGTATACATATATAACTCCTTCAGTATTATCAGCTGATCCTCTACCTATAGGAATACGACCCTATCACTGTATACATATATAACTCCTTCAGTATTATCAGCTGATCCTCTACCTATAGGAATACGACGCCTATCACTGTATACATATATAACTCCTTCAGTATTATCAGCTGATCCTCTACCTATGGGAATACGACCCTATCACTGTATACATATATAACTCCTTCAGTATTATCAGCTGATCCTCTACCTATGGGAATACGACCCTATCACTGTATACATATATAACTCCTTCAGTATTATCAGCTGATCCTCTACCTATGGGAATACGACCCTATCACTGTATACATATATAACTCCTTCAGTATTATCAGCTGATCCTCTACCTATAGGAATACGACCCTATCACTGTATACATATATAACTCCTTCAGTATTATCAGCTGATCCTCTACCTATAGGAATACGACGCCTATCACTGTATACATATATAACTCCTTCAGTATTATCAGCTGATCCTCTACCTATAGGAATACGACCCTATCACTGTATACATATATAACTCCTTCAGTATTATCAGCTGATCCTCTACCTATAGGAATACGACACCTATCACTGTATACATATATAACTCCTTCAGTATTATCATCTGATCCTCTACCTATAGGAATACGACGCCTATCACTGTATACATATATAACTCCTTCAGTATTATCAGCTGATCCTCTACCTATAGAAATACGACTCTATCACTGTATACATATATAACTCCTTCAGTATTATCAGCTGATCCTCTACCTATAGAAATACGACTCTATCACTGTATACATATATAACTCCTTCAGTATTATCAGCTGATCCTCTACCTATAGGAATACGACGCCTATCACTGTATACATATATAACTCCTTCAGTATTATCAGCTGATCCTCCACCTATAGGAATACGACGCCTATCACTGTATACATATATAACTCCTTCAGTATTATCAGCTGATCCTCTACCTATAGGAATACGACCCTATCACTGTATACATATATAACTCCTTCAGTATTATCAGCTGATCCTCTACCTATAGGAATACGACACCTATCACTGTATACATATATAACTCCTTCAGTATTATCAGCTGATCCTCTACCTATAGGAATACGACGCCTATCACTGTATACATATATAACTCCTTCAGTATTATCAGCTGATCCTCTACCTATAGGAATACGACCCTATCACTGTATACATATATAACTCCTTCAGTATTATCAGCTGATCCTCTACCTATAGGAATACGACACCTATCACTGTATACATATATAACTCCTTCAGCATTATCAGCTGATCCTCTACCTATAGGAATACGACGCCTATCACTGTATACATATATAACTCCTTCAGTATTATCAGCTGATCCTCTACCTATAGAAATACGACTCTATCACTGTATACATATATAACTCCTTCAGTATTATCAGCTGATCCTCTACCTATAGAAATACGACTCTATCACTGTATACATATATAACTCCTTCAGTATTATCAGCTGATCCTCTACCTATAGGAATACGACGCCTATCACTGTATACATATATAACTCCTTCAGTATTATCAGCTGATCCTCCACCTATAGGAATACGACGCCTATCACTGTATACATATATAACTCCTTCAGTATTATCAGCTGATCCTCTACCTATAGGAATACGACCCTATCACTGTATACATATATAACTCCTTCAGTATTATCAGCTGATCCTCTACCTATAGGAATACGACACCTATCACTGTATACATATATAACTCCTTCAGTATTATCAGCTGATCCTCTACCTATAGGAATACGACGCATATCACTGTATACATATATAACTCCTTCAGTATTATCAGCTGATCCTCTACCTATAGGAATACGACACCTATCACTGTATACATATATAACTCCTTCAGTATTATCAGCTGATCCTCTACCTATAGGAATACGACACCTATCACTGTATACATATATAACTCCTTCAGTATTAACAGCTGATCCTCTACCTATAGGAATACGACACCTATCACTGTATACATATATAACTCCTTCAGTATTATCAGCTGATCCTCTACCTATAGGAATACGACGCCTATCACTGTATACATATATAACTCCTTCAGTATTATCAGCTGATCCTCTACCTATAGGAATACGACACCTATCACTGTATACATATATAACTCCTTCAGTATTATCAGCTGATCCACGTCGACTATAGGAATGTTTCTTGAGCATCAGATCATCATATTAGAGTGATTTCTGAAGGATCATGTGACACTGAAGACTGGAGTAATGATGCTGAAAATACAGCTTTGATCACAGGAATAAATTACACTTTACTATATATTCACATAGAAAACAGCTGCTTTTAATTTTAATAATATATCACATTTTACTGTTCTTATTTTTGAGCACATAAATGGAGCCTTTGTGAGCAGAAGAGACTTCTTTCAAAAACATTAAAATCTTATCAACCCCCGATTTTATATATATATATATATACAAATGAAAAAATTTGTTTTAAAAACAGAGTGCCATTTCCAGGTGTGACCGAGTGAGAAGAATGAAGCTATATGTGTTTTAAACGTGTTTCCGAACTCTTATCCTGTCTCTATGTTTGTAAATTAGATCAAGCTGTCAGACTTTGGCTTCTGCGCTCAGATCAGTAAAGATATCCCGAAGAGAAAGTCTTTGGTGGGCACGCCGTATTGGATGGCTCCTGAGGTCATCTCCAAGTCACCTTATGGGACCGAGGTACAGCACAAGACAAAGACACAGCAAATGTCAAAGAGCGGAGAGAAAATGTGTGCTGAAATATTCCTAAGTTCATTATACATGTTTATAACGACAGTAAAGGTAATCTAAAATGTGCAGGTGGATGTTTGGTCTCTGGGCATCATGGTGGTGGAGATGGTGGATGGAGAACCTCCGTATTTCAGTGAAACTCCTGTGGCTGCGATGAAGAGACTGAGAGACGAGCGGGCGCCCACCGTACGCAACGTTCATCAGGTACGAGACGATATCTCTCCATTAATCTCAGCGAGAGACAGAGAGAAACACACGTACAGAAGGACACAAACTTAGACTTAACAATGTCATGAAAAATAATTATGGGCCACAAGTAAAAATGAAGTAAAACTGAATAAAATAAAATAATAAGATATTCAAACTGATTTCAAGCCATTTTGTTTGACAAGAAATTATATGACATGAATAAATTAATTAATAAGCTTACATCTCAAAAAGTCTTTGAAAACAATCCTTTATCTGCCACATCTGAGTGAAAACAGAAGGAATGACACTAGATTTAGAAGTGCAAAACTCAGTATTATGTTGCTGGAGTATAAAGATATTTAATTTTGAATAAAATAATTATGGGCCAAGTAAAAAAAAAAAAAAAAAAAAAAAAATGATAAAATAATACAATAAAATTAAATATTCAAACTGATTTGAAGCATTTGAAGAGAAATTATATGACATGAATAAATTAATAAGCCTGCATCTCAGATCTGTTTTTGAACTATATATAATAATAATAATAAATTAACCGAAACATTCCTTTACCTAAACCTAATGTCATGAAATAAATTCTTTAAAAAAATAATTATTAAACTAAAACTAAATGGATCAAATAAAATAATACAATAAGATAATAAAAAATAAAGAAAAAAACAACTGAAGACATGTTGTTTGACAAGCAATTATATGATATAAATAAATGAATAATCCTGCATGTTAAAAAGTTTTTTCCATACACATAAAATGTGTTTTTGGACAATCCTTTATCTGTCACATGTGGGTTAACACAGCTGGAGTAACACTAGAATGTGACATTTTTTGAAGTTCAAAACTCACCACTATGTGGCTATTGTAAAGATATTTAAAATAATTAATAAATTAAATAATAAAACAATAAAATTACATAATAAAACAAAAATAAAGCTCTTGAAGCTCCGCCCTCTGTGCCGGGAGCAGCAGCTCATTTGCATTTAAAGGGACACACACACAAAGCGACGGCCGCCATCTTGGCAACGCCTCCGGGCAGCTATTTCGGACTAACAAGACCAGGCTCCTATCTAAATGAATGGGCAGAGAGTCAGAACCGCAGTTTCACTGGTCACCGGGACATAAAAACTGCTTGTATAGAAACAGCAGTAAAATATGATAAAAATCGCTGAAAAAGTTTGATGACTTTGCCCCAAAATAAGGTTTAAAAGGCCTTTTTCCCCACAGGTTATACTTTTACTGCGCATGCGCAAGGGTTCTCTCCCTCGGTCGGGCGCGCGCTACACAGTTTGAAGCACAGTATGTACGAGCTCTTGCTCGCTCGCTCTAGATTCCAGGAGATTTGAACTAATTTGCGGGCATCAGGGACCCGCTATCAATCTGCGGGAGACTTCTGATGTCTGATATTACACAACTCACACATACACTGCATATCAAATCTGCCGCCTTTTCAAACAGTAACGTATTTTGCGCTGTCGCAAACCTCAACTGTGCGCATGCGTCAGTGGAACCAGACGATAGGCTTAAATGTTTCCCGGCTTGACTGTTAAAAGCAGACGATTGGCTTTCCAGCGGGAGGGGCGGGGCATGTGCATACAACCGCCATCTTTGGCGTTACGGGTTTTCCCTATATAGTTGTATTAAGGATTGATGAAGTGGCATGTCTCTATATAAATAGTCTCTGGTGTAGGTCATCTAAATGTGGTGTTTGTCTGCAGGTTTCCCCGATGCTGAAGGACTTTCTGGACCGTATGCTGACGCGAGACCCGCTGGAGCGCGCGAGTGCCACTGATCTCCTGGAGCACCCGTTCCTCCTGCAGGCCAGCTCTCCTCAGTGCCTGGTGCCCCTAGTGGAGCAGTACCGCAAGCGCATGTCCCGCTGCTGATCCACGTCCCCCGCTAGCTCAGCGTTACGCGCCCAAGGAGACGACAACCAGGGCAAAACAGCGGCTTATCCGGCCTGCCCGAGTGCAAAGCACCGGATCATCCGGGACTGAGGCGGCTGAATGAACTCTATGAAGTCACAGCCAGTTTCTTCTACCGATGGACGTCTGATCGGTGCTCAAACGGCGGAGAATTACAGCAGAAGTGCGTCTGACTGAAAACGCCACTGGGTTTATTTATGTTCTGTTTGAAGCTGATGATTTTCTGCGGCCACGGAAACCTGGAATTACTGGATTTGTACACATTCATCATGTTTCATTTGTTCATCAAATATTTTGCCTGAATTTGTAATGTGTCGATATTATGATTTTGGTTTTTACAGCTGCGAAAGCAACATCGACAACTTTATTAATTATGAGTAACACTTTACAATAAGGTTCCGTTTGTTAACATTAGTTAACGACCCAGACGGCAACATAGTGGTTCACATCTGGCACGCGTGGGCATCCACATGACCCAGATGTGGGCCGGATCTGGGCCGACACTGTGTTGCTGTCTGGCTAACGACTTCTAAAGCATGTTAATTTCAACATTTACTAATGCATTATTAAAATCAAAAGTTGCATCTGTTGATATAATTCAATGGACCTGAACTGACATGAACTAACAATGAACAGTTGTGTTTTTATGAACTAACTGTTAACAAATGTGTTGCTCAGTGTTATTTAATGTTACTATACAAACATTAGCAAACTGAATCATATTGTAAAGCATTATTTTATTGTCTGCAACCTGGAATTATACAGAATTACAGACAAGTTGTATGTATATTGGCTAAATTTCAACAGCTTGAAATGTGGCTCGTCCAGACTTTAATGGTTTGTTACTTGACTTGAAACCTAAATGTTTTTTTGAGTTGATTTTCCAGCAGAAGGAATATATCAGGATATAAAATGACATATCACATCGCACACATTTTACCATTTTCAAATTGCAATATTAGACCCACGATCAGCACAGAAAGCTAAAGCCCGGGCCGAAAGCTTTACTCCACATAGGCACATATTTCACCTGCGTTTTAAAGCTTGTGTCAGACTGGCTTGCATGGCTGAACAGAGGCACACGCTTCAATCTTCATCTGAGGGACGAAGACGTTTTTCAGAAAAGGCGGTGAAATGATGTCATTTGTTGTCAGCACTCACGGGTGCAAAACGTTTTTATGAGCCATTGTAACCAATTGTATATATTTTAATGACCTATTTATTGTTTGTTTTTTCCAATGGATTGACGAGCGCCTGCTTTTGGAAAGGGTGCTGTGAATGGTTTGTAAACCGTGTAAATATTGCATCTGAGCTTTCCTGATTTCTTAAACGGCTGATTTTACTGTCAAGGCGTCAGAAGAACAAATAATGTACATAATCAGAGAGGGAAACAACCTGTGTTTGCATTCATTTCATTATGAGAGAGGAAAGGAAAGGTGTGTTTGTTGGTGTGCGTGTTTACATTTTGGATGCAGCGTTCATTGTGATATTTTTGCATCCTACCTGTTGTACTGTGATGTTTCCTAAATTATCATACTGACAGATTAAAAGAGGGCAAGAGAGAGATGTTGATTTGGGGCCGTTCACACGGGACGCATTTTGTCTGCACTAGTTTTTAAAGGAACACTTTGTAACTTTTGGCCCTCTAGCGGTTAAAATCAAAACTGCATTTAGCGGAAGAATATTGGGTAACACTTTACTTGAAGGGGTGTGCATAAGACTGACATGACACCTTCATAATCATGGCATGACACATTTTATGTTTTATGCATGTTTATGACAACTGTCATTAAGTGTCATTCGCTCAATTATGACATTTTGAATGCAAATATGACATTGTTTAAGATGTCTTGGTTATGACAACTTGACATAAACCAATACATCATAACCTGTCAGTGTCTTTGCCATCACAACTTGACATTACTAAGTATTATAACATAAATTGTCATAAATATGTCCTAAACATGACATGATTAATTATCAAACTTAAGAAAGCACTTAGCTTTATGGGTTAACATTACATTAAACTGTCATGTGGTTGGTTTTGACATTGGCTGTCATGAGGCATTATAACTGTGTCATGAATATTGTTCTTGACCTCGACTACAGTGGTACACATTGAATTTGTCATTAAAATGTTATAATGGCCTTATGACAGCCAATGACACCATCATCACAACTCTGAAAGCCCAGCTGATGTTGATTCTTGTTTAATTACGAGCTCTGTCTCGCTCTCTTTTCTCCAGCAGACTCTCCTCTGTTCAGCGTTTGTTTAAATCGGTGGTTCTCTGGAAGTTTGTGATTTTACAAGCTCTATGTCAACCTTTCTCGGTCGTTGTGTCCCAACTAACCACTCACACAGCAGACAATAGTAGGCGGAGCAACTTTTAGGTGTGTTTGACTTGAAGAGGCGCTGTGCAGCGATTCCAAAGCATACGGAGACTCATTCTTTAAATTTGGTTAATTTTTAACAAGTGTACCTTTAATATTTATGTAGCATACACAAGCATCATGAAAAATGAAAATCATTTTAAAAAATGAAGATCATTAATTCACGCTCATTGTTCTAAACCTGCATACAGTCATTTTTTTCAGTGTAACATTTTTGAGCAATTTTTGAAGAATCTTTAGCTTTTTCCTTTGCAAAAGTTTATAGAGACGACGACAAAAACAAACAAACAAACACACACACACACACATATAAAATCAACACTTTTAGAAGAAAAGGTTCTAAATGGAACGTTAAGGGTTCCATCAGACACTCCATAGAACATGGGATATAGATTTAGTTTCAATGTTTTTGTAATTTTAGTTAAACAGCTCGTAAACATACTTTATCACTGGAATAAATTGAAATAACGCATTAATGTAAGAATTACGTGCTCATTTAAGACATGTCTGCGTATACAGAGCCCTTTCGCACAAAGATTTGTTTAAAATTGAGGTTCACATATGGAACAACATTGAACCATTTTTTCAAAGAGTGAACAGTAGAACTATATTCGAAGTCTTCTGAAGTTATATGATGCTTTTGTGAGCATTTGAATATACAGAAATGAGATTTGAGAGCTGCAGTGGAGGGAAGTGAAGAATAAAAGCTGTTCCTTACCCAAAACCACGTCATACAAAAGTGTTTCCGAACTCGTGTGTGTTGTGTCGCTCCGTCTGTGCTTGATTGCACGAGGCGTCTGGTGTGAACGGCCCCTTGTTAGTGTGCACTTGTTAGTGTATATGCCAGCAGCCGAGGACACGTGACTCATAATCAACCTTCTTTCCACAACATTTGCTGTGTGCTTTTTTGTGTGTTGGTTGTTGATGAAAAGAGAAATATACATTTAATTTTTTAAAGAATAAATCATGCATATAAAAAAACACCGGTATCAAGTTTTATTTTGCTTTAAGCTTATACACAAGTGCTTTATTCATGTGTCTATCAAAAGTTTTTCACACAGACAGATGCTTTGAATTTATACAGTTGAGTATATCAAAGAGTATAGGATATAAATTATTGACATATGCAAAGATATACAACTGTATTCAATGCATACAAATCACAAATAGTATAAGATTCATTTTGCTCCACATTTCTCTCTTTCTTTCTTTCGAGACAAAATATGCTTATAAAAATATAGGCAGCACTTTATTTTACAGTCTTGTTTTGCATGTTCACTCTATATACTTGATGTAGTAACTGGGTATTACGAGTCCTGAATCTAACCTTGATGTTGTTGCCTTATATTACTCTTTATTGGTCGGTACACTGTAAGTGCACGTACTGTAAAATAAACATGCATGCATTATTATAACAGCTTAATGCAGACACACTTTAGCAGTGCATAACAATGTCAGTAATAATTACATCAGTTCATTATTATCTGAAGGATGTTCATGAATCTACAGAGACAGTCGAGAGATCTTACATTCGTGTACACGGCTATTTATAATGTCATAAGAAACTTGATATTTTTGACTTGTTTTCCAGCACAAATATCTAAACATTCTTAAATCAAGATGGATTTACTTGAGAAGCAAAATAACTGAAGATATTAAGAAAAATGGGTAACACTTTATACAATAAGGTTTATTAGTTAAGTTAACATAAGAATGAACACTTCTACAGCATTTATTAATCTTAGTTAATATTAATTTTCAACATTTACTAATACGTTATTAAAATCAAAGGTTGTGTTTGTTAACATTAGCCAATGCACTGTCAACTAACACGAACAAACAATGAACAGCTGTATTTTTAGTAACTAACATTAAAAAAGATTACTAAATACTGTAATAAATGTGTTACTCATTGTTGGTTCGTGTCAGTTAATAAATGAACTAATGTTAACACAAAAAAATGAATCATTATTAAGTGAGGGGATCTGAAAAATAAACTGAATTCAAAGGGAAAACATTTAGCTTGTATCCTGATTTAAGAATGTTTAGAGAATTGTATTGGAAAATAATAATAACAATAAGACCATAATCTCTTGTAGTGTAGTCTCTGTGAGAGTCATAAACATCTTTGATTTCATTTTGCAGGTGTTTCTAAATGCGCACACAGTGTTAAAGTCGTCTATCCTCATTTAAGAGCTGAACTAGTCTCGAACTCGCACCTCACCGCACTGATGCTGTCCACGCTGGGCTGGCTGTTCACTCTCAAGTGTGTGTGTGTGAACGGGAAGGTTTCGGAGCGAGAGATCTTCCCTTTCCCGCGTCCGGCAGCGTCGCTCGGACAGTCTCTGTGCCTCAGGAACTCCGGAGCCGTGAACCTGCGCAGGAGCCTGGTTCCCAGTCCCGAGAGCCCTGAAGCGCGAGGTTTGATCCGCTCCGGCTCCTGCTCTTCCCGACCCGGCAGGAGTTTGCTCTGTCTGGAGGATCTGGGAACGCTGGAACGCAGATCTGTCCAGCTCGGGGACTCCTCCAGGTTGATGGTGTCGCTCATCTTCCCGCTGTAGAACTTCGCCACGAGAGGTTTTTCATCCTGAAGCGAAGCTCTTTTAAATCTGCTGGCGGATCTGTTGATTTCGCGAACGTCTCCTTGGTAGGATTGTTTCCGGTGTTCCAGATTAAACGATCGGGCTTTTCCCCAGAGTGGCGTCTCAGTGTCCGACGCGTGTCCCGCGCTCCTCGATCCGCCGACCTCTTTCAGCGCTGAGTTTTGAATCTGTTTGGAAGCAAACATCAGATCATGATCCGTGTCGGATGCCGGCGGACGCCTGAAGTGGATCCGCAGGTTGTCGCTGAGACGCATTTGTCTCTGAAGCAAAGCCGGAAGGAGCTCCTCTTGTCTGCTCTGGATTTGTTTGGAGAACCGCTCCAGAACATGTTTCGGGAGGCGATTGGGCCATCGGAGATCTTCCACGGGTTCTCCAGTGCTGTTGGTGGGACTCACCGTCTTCTTCCCGCAGACACTGAGGGCTTGAACGCACTGGTTGTGCCCGAAGAAATCGGCGACTTGTACGGCCGAGTGTCCGGCGTGGTTCGTGAGGTCCAGTCTCAAGCCGAGCTTCTTGAAGGCCCGCACCAGGAACTCCAGAACCTGGTTGTGTCCTCCACACGCGGCGTACATCAGCGCACTGTTCCCCCAGCTGTCCGTGAGCTCCGGGTCAGCGTTGAACTGAACCAGGAGCTTCACCGAATCCAGGAATCCGTGTTCGCATGCGAGGCTCAAAGCCGTCCGCCCGTGATCGTCACCCGTGTTCACATCCGCACCTTTTTCAAGAAGGAGTTTGGTGAACTTCGCTCGGCTCCCGTGGTCTTGAAGGCTCACGGCGTACATCAGAAGCGTTCGCCCATTTTCGGCTTTTCCGTTGATGATCCTCCCGTCCAGAGCGTCCAGAACGAAGCGGGCCAGGTGGACTTTCCCGCTCTGCATGGCTTCCAGGAAGGTTTTGGTGCCGGATCCCTGACACAGATCCTTAGGCCTCAGCATGGTGTGTGTGTGTGTGTGTGTGTGCAGCTCAGAGTTTCTGAGTCCCGTCTGAGAAAGCGTGTGTTTTTATACCTCAGCGCTCCCTGTGTTGCTACGGAAACAGGCATCCGAGAGCGACGATGCTCATTCACAATCACCTCCTCTTTTCTCAGACCGGAGGGGAGATACACTCGTTCTGAGACAAGAATTACTCAGTGGGAAAAACACGCTTGTTTTATTCTCCTGTCTAAAAGGATACAAAAGGATCCGTCGCCCGAGCAACAGCGTCCTTCTCTTCATCATTTCCTTGAGTATATCAAATCTATATATATGCATTTACAGAAGAGGATGAAAGAAACACAATGTTTAGTAAAGGTCAAGTCAGTGCATTACGGATGTTTAAATCACTGAGTCACGCTTGATGAGCTGTTCGTTAGCATGCAGATTAAAACACACTCTGCCTCAGCCCAACACACTGATCTGATGAAACACTTCTGCTCCAAAACACATGCAACATTTATTATCATATAACACTTATAATTATTGCTCAGTAAAAGAGTTATTTTTTTCAGAATATATTAATTCATATAAATTAAATTAACTTAGGGTGTTTGTCAAGTTGAGCATCACTGTAACTATTGGTCATATTCATATAATATCATAAAACATTTCTCATATTATACATTATATGTCATATCTTGTTCCTCATACATCATATCGTATTAATCATATCTTCTCATACATCTCATATATAATATAATACATCATTTCTCATATCACATATAATATCATATTATAAATAATGCATCACACCACAAATCATACATTATACATCATATCAAATTTATCCTACATGATATTTTATACATCATAAAGGATGTATGCATACAATTATGTACATCATATCTCATACCACAAATCATACATTATACATCTCATTGAATTTCTCATACATCATTCATAATTTCTCATACACAATATCACATAAATCATGTCATAAATCATATCTCTTATCTCAAGTATAATTTCTCATACATCATACTTCGTGCTTCGGTAATTATATTGGTTATTGTATTTACTATTTCCTGGATTGCATTACTTGTTGACTGAGATTTGAATTTTTTTTTTCTTCTTTCGTTTAGTCTATCTATTAATGTTTTTGTTATTTGTTTTGATAGAATGTATATGTGGGTGTGTGTGTGTGTGTGTTGGCTCCCATGGTGCTCACCCCCCTTGGTTTCTATTTTTCAATATGTACTTACATGATTTCTTTATTAGTCTACACCGTATTATAATTTATCTATAAGTATTGGTAAAGGTCTTTATATTATACACCTGAACATTAGAAGCCTACTTCCCAAAATTGATCAATTACGAGCGTGGTTAACCTATAATAATCCAAGTATTATTACATTATCCGAAACTTGGCTTACCAGCAACATTTCTGACACTGATATCAGTATAGACAACTATAAATTATTTAGATCGGACAGAGGAACAAGGGGAGGTGGAGTAGCCACTTATGTACTATCTCATTTAAATTCTCAACTTATGGTTCCTATTGAGATTCCAGTACTTTTTGAGGGTCTGTTCATTAAAATTACTCTGCATGAAAATAAGCAAATTATTATTGGAAATATTTACAGACCGCCTATCTCTCTGAAAGTGGAATCATTTAAAAATATTATTTCTACTGTTTCTTCCTTAGTTCCTAATAAAGAAATGATACTTATGGGTGACTTTAATATTAATTGGCTTCATTCATCTACATTTACTGAAAGAAATATGATTAATAGTTTAAATTTGACACAACTTATAGCTGAGCCCACAAGATTGACTCCTACCTCTAAATCTCTTTTGGATTGGGCCTTAGTTTCTCACCCTGAACGAATAATTAAATCTGGGGTTTTACCAGACAGCTTTAGTGATCACCACATGATCTATTGCGTTTGGAAAATTTCGAAGCAACGTCTCCCTCCCAAATTTATTAAGATACGGCAAACCAAATTCTTTAACAGTGACCAATTTATTAACGATTTGCATCAAATTAACTGGTACAGGCTTAATCTAATTCCATTTATTGATGATGCATGGCATTTTGTATATACTGAGCTCTTGAATGTCATAAATAAGCATGCTCCTTGGACTATTGTTAAAGTTAAAGGTAGTCACTTGCCGTGGGTAAATGGTGACCTTATTAATCTCTTTAAACAAAGGGATAGGGCTTGGCATAAGTTTAGACGTACAAAACACACTGCTGACTGGGAAGAATATAAACGATTAAGAAACAATTGTACCATGCAAACAAGAAACTCCAAATCCAGTTACTTTAGAAATTGTCTATCGAATGATTTCAAAAACCCACAAAGATTCTGGAAACAGGTTAATAATGTACTTGGGAAATCAGGGCGGACTACAACCAATTTAAATTTGAATAATGAAATGATAGATGATCCAGTAACTATTGCAAATGCTTTTAGTTTACATTTTTCTTCCGCACCACAAGTTCAGACCCATACTTTTAAACCAGATTTGGCTCCTTGTCCCCATACCGGTAGTTCCTTTTCATTTACAGAGATCAGCCCAGCAGATGTGCAAAAGGTTATAAGTGAACTGTCATCTACCAGTGGAGCTGGACTAGATGGCATTGAGAACAAGTTTATTAAAATTGGTTCTCATGTACTAGCAGTGCCATTGGCCTTACTTTTTAATTTATCGTTTTCATCTTGTACGATTCCTTTGGCCTGGAAATGTGCTAAAGTTATTCCACTTCATAAAGGTGGCAGTTCTGATAATATTAATAACTATAGACCCATTTCAATCATCAACAGTGTTGTAAAAGTTTTTGAGAAAATAATTTTCACCCAATTATCGAATTATTTAGCTAATAATGATCTATTATCTCAATGCCAATCTGGATTCAGAAAACATTTTTCCACCACCACAGCCCTTCTTAAATTTACTAATGATGTGTTCTTGAGTTTTGATAATCGTATGTGTACAGGTGCATTATTTTTAGATCTTACTTAAGCTTTCGACTTAGTTGATCACTATTTACTTCTAGACAAATTGTACTCTCTTGGTTTGTCTACCTCTTCTTTGCTTTGGTTTAATTCTTATTTACATAATCGTCGCCAGTGTGTGTCCTTTGGGGGCAGTTTGTCTCACTCTACAGGCATTGATAGAGGAATTCCTCAAGGCTCCTCTTTGGGGCCTTTATTATTTTCAATATTTATCAATGATCTTCCGCGTAGCTGCACTGGATGCAATATTCAACTTTATGCTGATGACACAGTCATTTATTGTTCCAAACCTAATATCTATGACATCAGCACCACATTACAAAATGGTTTTGATTCAGTTCAGAGGTGGCTATTGCTTAATAGGCTTCTACTTAACAAATCAAAATCATTTTCAATGCTTTTTAAAACGAAACAGAATTCTTCTCTAGTAAACTCACTAAATATTATATCTCTGGATCAAACTCCTATAAAACATACTAGCCAGGTTAAGTATCTTGGCCTTTGGCTTGACTCTGATCTTTCTTTCAGCACTCAGGTGCATAATATAACTAATAAGCTCAACTGCTCACTTAGAATTTTATATCAATCAATTAACTGTTTTAACTATCATGTCAGAAAAAGAATTGTTTCTCAACTTCTATTGCCAATCTTGGATTATGCTGACATTGTATACCAAAACACTACTGCTTCCTGTCTTCAGTCTCTTAATACAGTTTATAATAGCCTGTGTAGATTTATACTCCGCTGCCCCTACAGAACACACCATTGTGAAATGTACCATCAATTGTCCTGGCTGACCTTATCAAATAGAAGGCGTTTTCATTGGTTACAGTTTATTTTTAAATGCATTTATATGAATTACCCTGTTTATTTAAAACAGTATTTAATTCCATTTAGGTCATCTCATAATTTGCGTCATAACACCCAAATTTATTTTTACACTCCTCAGATCAATAAAGAAATAGGTAGAAATGCATTTCAATATAAAGCACCGTATGATTGGAATAAACTTCCAATTTCAATTCGCTCTTTAACCTCTTTTCCAACATTTAAAAATCATTTAGTTCAACATCTTCAGAATACGTGTGATTGCTTTTGATTAGTATATATATGTATATATATATATATATTTTTTTCTATTTCACTGTAACCTATTTTTGGTATGGTACGTATATATTTTTGTGTATATATTTTTGTCTGTATATGAGTTTACTTGTGTTTAGTTGTGTGTTTTGGTACATATGGTATTGTTTACTTTATTTAGGGAGGAGTGTGTCACCTTTTGGGTGTCTTGTATGAATGAATGTCTTGTTTGTATGGTTTTTGGTTTATATATTTAAATACTTACTATTACTGTAACGCATGTTTTTTTTTGTTTTGTTATTTGTTATTACGTTTATTTGACTGCTGCTGTAAGGTGAATTTCTGTATCTAGAATCGAGGACCCCCTCGAAAACGAGATGGCTCATCTCAAGGGGCTATTCCTCTTCAATAAATAAAATGTCAAATAATACTAGTATATCATATTTTACATATCATATCTCATATATCATACAGTATCTTATACATCATATCTAATTTCTCAAACATCACATCTCATATATCATACATCAATTCTCAAATGTCATACATCATATATTATATCTCATACGTCATATATCATGTCTCACGCATCATACCTCATATATCACACATCATATGTAATTTGTCATTCATCATACACATCACCTTTCTCATACATATATAATTTCTCATATATCCAACATCCTCTAATTTCTCCTACATCAAATATCATATATCCTGGGTTTTGGTTCAGGTTAGGGTCTACGGTCTAGTATTGTGGTGGTGAGTTTTGCACAAATTTTCTCAGACAATGTACAAATCTAGGTTTTCACTCATCATAAATTTCCTTAACAATGATCATAAAGTTCAGAGAATCAGTGTGTGTTTGACATCAGTGTGTCCCTGAAGATCCTGATGCTCACAGTGCCAAGGTCAACATGGGTTCGCTTCCCCTGGCAATGCATGAACAGAGCTCGAATGCAATGGAGAAAAGCATCTGGCAAATGCACAAATGTGACCAAATCAACAAAGACAGCCTGAA